CTCTCTCTCTCTCTCTCTCTCTCTCTCTCTCTCTCTCTCTCTCTCTCTCTCTCTCTCTCTCTCCCCTTCCCTCCCTCCCTCCCTCCCTCCCTCAATATATATATATTTAGTGGGATAAAATCATATCACCATGATCATGCTTTCAACCCTGGATTTAATGAAGCATCTTTTAAATTTCCTGCCATAAAACAGTATGCTATATAATTATCATTGGTAGATAAGGGTCTTTTCGTATCAAGCATTAAAGGAAAAAAGTGGTTTGCAACAGTTCCAAGTATCTTACTCTCTATCAAAATGTGTCTAGATAGCTTCAACATTACTTTAAAAAATAAGCATAGCCTCTTTTTGTTGTTTTCAATGGGCAACCGGTCACAGTAATAAACACTTCCACTAATGAAATGAGAGGAAAGAAAGAAATTGGGGATGTGATAGTTTTACACCCATTTTTTTCCCCAGTCACATCCTTTCTTGCTCAATGGCCAACCACACAGTATTACTATTTTTGCTTTGCCCACTGTTGGATGCCTACATGTTGTAAATGGGGCAGTCCTCCAAACGTTTTCAAAGCTTCAGAATTAGATGGAAACCATCACTCATGATGGTTTCTATCGTTTGTTTTCCAGGCCTATCCATTGTCCTGAGTGTTCTATCTTTCTAAAAGTTTCAAATGTCCTGCATCCATCTTCAAGAATTCTTTAACTTAACCCAACCCCTGGGCATTAAAAGGATGTTAATGTTCCCTCTCAGTTCATCAACTTTCACATCAAGCTTATAATGTAGATGCTTTGCAATCTATTTGGCTTTAAAAGAAGCTAAGCTAATATACGTATATTTTATTTTTGTTCATTTTAATTTTGTTTTAGGATTTATTTATTTTTTTGCAATTTATATTGTCAACAGCTAACATTTAGAAAATCATTAATTGATCTTAAGAATAAACAATTCTCCAATCATGCAACTCTCTGAAAGTAGGTCATGTATTTGTCAAAGGCTACAGGTCAGATTAGCAGATTCATGGGGAATTTACTGAAGCCTCAGAAGATTCTGCCAGTTGACTAACAATCACCAACAGGTAAATTCCGGATACAACTCAAGGATTTAGAACATGGGATATGGAAAGAATATATTACCATATTTTTTAGAGTATAAGACGCACCAAGATTTTGAAGAGGTAAATTTTAAAAAAGTTTTTGCACTCTGCAGATCTCCCAAAAATGGCCCTTTTTTTTCACGAAAACGGGCCTGTTTCCCCCCCCCCAAAAAAGGGCATGAATAGCTTTTAGGAGACTTGTAAAATTCTCCTGGGGGTGGGGTGGGTGGGGCAAAAGCAAGCAAAAAACGGTCCATTTTTTGTCATAAAAAGAGCATGCATAGCCTTTAGGAGGCTATAGAGTTTTCCTGGGAGCTTGGTTCAATTACCATATGGATCTAGCCACTATGATTTGCAAACCATGCCTTATCATTTATCGTGTTACAGGAACTCAGCTATTTAGAATTCCTTCAGCAAACCATAATTTAAAAAGAGGCGAGCAACTTCTTTAGATTGGGGGCTTCAACTTCTGATTTTCTGGAGAGTCACCAAGAAACTATCCAATGATATAGTGACTTCAACAGAAGGGGAGGAGCTCAGTATTTTTCACTGCTTTTCAAAGTATTGGTCGGGATGTACAGTGGGAATGGGAGCAGGCTATTTTTATCCCCATCCTTGTTTAAGAAACCCTCAAACAGGATAAAATTGTATGACTGAGTTTCTGCTGTCCTCAGCACCTGGATTGCAGGCTTGTTTTTAGGCCTCTGGAAAGCCTCCTGCTTACATTCCCATCCAAATCAGACCTGCAGCCTATAAGCTTCCCATCCTTGGTTTAAGGTAAAGTAAGGACAGGAAGTGCCATGTTACAAACAGCAAGGTTTCCTGCCATTCCTTCAGGAATAAGAAGACAAGGAAAAGGTTTTCAGATTTTCTTCTAAATGACAAAAGAAGTAGTTTTTGCAGACTCCTCTTTTAAACAATCTCACTAAGAAAGTCGTAGTAGTAGGCTGGCTTGCCTGGAACACTGACCTATAACCTGATTAAGTGAATTATTTGGAGGAAGCTTATGGTTCAATTAATCAAATCTTAAATGATTTTATCCACAGTTATTTATTCTATAAACTACTGTCATCTGTCCTAAGTACCAGAAATGCAGAGGGGGAAAAAAATCAAGATATAATTAAAAGAAAAACATGTGAGTCAAGGAGCAGAGTTTCTATTTCAACAGGATTCCCATTTTCCGTTGTGGAAATTGCACTTCTAGTTCCGAGCTGTGATACTTTAAAAAAATATATTTTTTTAAAGCTTCTTTTAGTTGCAGAGCCATTGAGGGAATAACACACTAACCTCAGGTTTGCTTTCCTTTCAAGGCCAGCAATTTTCCTCACGATATTTTGGCAAAAGCCATAACACATAAAGAGCACGGCATTTTCAGCAATGTTTGCCACAAGTGCAGGCGTGGTCCCCTTGTAGAAGCCACGGAACCCTATTTGTTTGTAGGTCTTCACAAAACAGTCCACAAGCCCTTGGTACATGTTAGGGAATGTCTGCATTTTCACCTTTGCGGTGTCAAATGGTTGACCGATTATCACACAGGCAGTACCCCCTGCATGAGAAAGGAAAAGTAAGTGAAAACATCAGAAATGGGGGCAGTTGGGTGGCTGGTTTTTGTTTTGTGTTTTAGCTATTACATTCTCAAGCAAAAGGAGGTAAACTGGAGAAAGAAAATTATCCTTGACAAAAAAAGGCATGCGTGTGTGTGTGTGTGAGAGAGAGAGAGAGAGAGTTATAATTTGATAATATTTTAAGCTTGAAACTAAGGATAACCAGAATATTTGCTTTGCTCTAGGAGTTATCAACTTTTTCACACAGGGCACTATCTGGCAATTTCATATGGGGCCAAACCTCCCTCATCTTAAAACATATTTAACACTAAAAGCGAAGTCTTATGAATATGAAGGCAAGAACATATTTTCTGAGATTTGGATTATTTTTTTTATTTCAGTCACTCCTTCCCTCTGAAGGCAAGAACATATTTTCTGAGATTTGGATTATTATTTTTCATTTCAGTTGCTTCTTCCCTCTTTCAAAATAAATAATAATATGTATTAAAATCAGGCTCTCCCTTTTTACAAACCTATAATCCCTTAATTCAGGATAAAGTCCTGGATGGAGCTGATATATTAAAATCATACTATCCCGATTACTTTTTTCAAAGAAGGGACTTATTAAAACCCATCTCACAGAGTGGTGGTTGTGAGGAAAGTTGGAAGTGAGAGGATTATGTATGCTATCTTGAATTTTATACATATTATTATTTATTTTGAAAGAGGGAAGAAGCAACTGAAATGAAAAAAATAACCTGAATCTCAGAAAATATGTTCTTGCCTTCAGAGGGAAGGAGTGACTGAAATAAAAAAAATAATCCAAATCTCAGAAAATATGTTCTTGCCTTCAGAGGGAAGGAGTGACTGAAATAAAAAAAATAATCCAAATCT